GCAGTAACACATTAACTGACTGCTTGAAACAAAACACAAATATCTACAGACCTCTGCCTCTCTCTCTCTCTGTCTCTCTTTCTCTCTCTCTGTCTCACTCTCTCTCTTTCTCTCTCTCTCTCTCTGTCTCTCTCTCTCTCTGTCTCACTCTCTGTCTGTCTCTCTTTCTCTTTCTCTCTCTCTCCCTCTCTCTCTTTCTCTCTCTCTCTCTCTCTCTCTCTCTCTCTGTCTCTCTCTCTCTGTCTCTCTCTCTCTCTCTCTCTCTGTCTCTCTCTCTGTCTCACTCTCTGTCTGTCCCTCTGTCTCTCTCTCTCTCTCTCTCTGTCTCTCTCTCTGTCTCTCTCTCTCTCTGTCTCTCTCTCTCTCTGTCTCACTCAAAAAATGATCTATATATTAAAAGTTAATAAAGAAAAATATATATAAAAAAAAAATAATAATAATAAAACAAAATACAAACCAAGATTAATATATGATAATGTAATAATTAAGAACAGAAAGTGTTCATAAATTAATAATATAAAAGTACATGTAATAATAAAACAAAACCTATTGAATATGTGTGTAGTTTATAATAAATATATAATTTTTAAATATATAAATTTATAATCTCTCTCTCTGTCTCTGTCTCTGTCTCTCTCTCTCTCTCTCTCTGTCTCTCTCTCCAGGGTGATGGTAATATTCGTTATTATGAGGTCAGTGCAGAGAAACCCTACATTCACTTTCTAGCTGAATATCGTTCTCTACTCCCGCAGAGAGGCATGGGTGAGTCCTCACACAGATAGGTTTACAGGTTTAAACGGTTAGTCTGCTGATCTGGGTTTGAGCTATGATGCAAGAGGCTGTGGTAGGCAGTGTGTGTACCTGTGCAGGTGTGTGTGTACCTCTGCAGTGTGTATGTACCTGTTTAAGTGGATATATTTACCTGTGCAGTATGTGCGTACCTGTGCAGTATGTGCGTACCTGTGCATGTGCGAATGTACATCACACCTGCTCAGATCCGCACACACAGACTGCCGTAACTGTGCAGGTGTGTGTGTACCTCTGCAATGTGTGAACACCTGTGCAGTTTTGTGTAACGGTGTAGTGTGTTTATCTTGCAAAGTGTGTCTACACTTGCGCAGTGTGCACCTATGCATGCGTGCACATACCTGTGTAAGTGTCTGTGCACCTGTGCAGGTGTGATGCCGAAGCGTGGGCTGGACACTAGGCAGTGTGAGATCTTCCGGTTCTACAGGCTGGTGTGTGTAAGGGACCTGGTGGAGCCTCTGTCCTTCATCGTGCCGCGGAAGGTAAAGGATTCTGTCGTTTGTCATTTCTTGAGTTCACTCATCAAGAAGAAGACTGTGCCTCACGTCCGACTGACCCTGAACTTACAGCATCCCTGTCCACTCTCACTGTGCTGCTCTCAGTCTGACGGCTTCCAGGAGGATATTTACCCGATGACGGCCGGCAACGAGGCGGCCATGACGGCTCAGGAGTGGCTGACAGGTCAGAACAAAGGTGGGCAGGCCGGTTCCCCTCTTTACCCCAGATGTGGTCAGTGTTTCGCGTTTCAATTGTGCTTCTTTAGTTTTAGCACTGTAGCTACGAGGCTAATGTGGCTAACAGGTAATGGAAGTTTATAGCTGAGATGCTCTGCGGTTATCAGGTTATTAAGTGCATGTAAACACACTCACTGTTTGACCTCTTAATTTAATTTACTGTAATTAACACGTCCAGGGCCGGTGCTGATGTCGCTGCGGCCGAGCACTAAAGTCCAGAACCCGTACCCGGCTCCGGTGGACGTAGCTGGGCTCGAGCGCTCAGCCAGCAGCGCGTATCTCAGCGGGCCGAACAAGCTCTTCCTTCAGGAGGTCAATCAGAACTCAGAACACGACCTCACTGACCTGTCGGGGTGGCAGGAGGACGAGACTCAGTGGGTCAACACTCGCTCCACACACACACAGTCGAGGGTGAGGTGGTGTGAGTCGGCGGCGTTCACACCGCCTGCAGCTGAGAAGGAGGTGAGAATGTGAACAGCACAGGTTCTTATAAAGAGCAAGACGTCCACCGTCCTGTCTTAGCGTAAGCAGCTAGCGAGGCAGCAGACTGAGGAAACTGAAACACGTGAAAAATGAAGAAGCGCTTCATACAGACGCGTTTTCATTGTTTACGAGACACAAACGTCCTCATCTGGAGTCCAAGGGCCTCATTTATAAAGCCCTCATTCTAAATCTGTTCTTAAGTTCTCAGCGTTTGTGTTTGATTGAATTATGAAAACACTTTGGGCCTCGTTCACCAACCGTTCTTAAGAAATTCCTTCTTAAACCCACTTACAACGTTTTTACGAATATTCTGACTCACCAATGCTCTCTTATCTGGGATCTGTTCTTAGGTAAGAACAGAATCTACACACTTAAGAGCCCAAAGGTGAGAACAGTTCTGCGCTTTAAGAACACGTCATGAATCTGACGTAGACTTTTTCGTAGGACCTTCATCAAGAACACACTTAAGAACAAAACGAGGCCCAGCGTTCACACGTAGCTCACTCAGCCTGCGACTCAGATGAGGCTGTACGTTTTTCATCTATGTTAATCTACATGTTTACATTCCAAATTCACTGTTTATAAATCACCTCTTAAACATGAACGATCATCTTAACCCTCTACTGCACGGTGCTGCCTGGCAACAATGACTTCATCTCAGTTTTACTACAAAGCAGTGATATAAAATCTGTGTTTTCCTATTTAATTGTGGAAAAAGGGTCTTTTACTTTGAAATGGACAAATATTCAATGACATCACATGACCAGGAATTCTTATTATGATGCTGTTATTAGCATACATTCCAAATACCAACTGACATTGTATTAATTTCCAATATTTGTAAATATTGGGTCGTACATGTTAGTATAAGTTGGATTTGTTTGGTCTTATTTTCAATAAAGGGACGTTTTCAGAGAAAAATTAGATTTTATGGTGTTTTTTTTATTATTTTAATGGTGCTGTGGTGCAACTACCCCACTAAAAAAACAAGGGAATATTTAGAGTATTTAGTTTGTGTAATAATTCATGCGATAGAGGGTTAAGATCAAATCTGTGCTTACGAATGTTTTATAAATGATTTTATAACCTTTCGCAGTGTAAAATGTTACGTTGGCTGTGTGTGAAACTGCGGGCAGCTGTCTGGACGCCTCGCTGTCCGTGCTGTCCCATAAGTCATTGCCTTAGAGGGCAGCGCAGTGATGGAGGTACCTGCAGCCGTTTATAAAACTCCAACAGCTCACTGCTAGCTGTTAGCATTAGCCTTTAGCCTCTAGGTGAGCAAGCTGAATTTTTCATAACCAAAATTAAAATGAATGTATTTGTACACAAACCAGTTTCTCTCCTCTGCTGGTGTTTTCTGCTTTTTCCTAAATGCAACTCATGTGACTCAAAGGATTGTGGGATATGTAGTGCAGTGAGGGATACATCGACCATCTGAGCAGCAGAGTAGTTTATTACGGCTCAGGCGCAGCCGCGCTTTCAGTCATCTCCTCGTGTTCCCACAGCAGCGTCATCTGTGAATGTTCACAGCAGTCAGACAGATGTTTCTCCAGATTCGCCCTGACGACTGTTTTTATACCATCAAAGTACCGTTTTCTGAGTGTTTGTGATGAGTGACCTGTATTACTGTAGTCTCCTCTTTTTGAGTGTGATACAGCAGATAAACAGCCCACAGTGAGAGTTAGACAGGCTAAAGTACAGCCTCCACACGGGGGGGTTAGTTTAACACACTGATACAGCAAAGACCCCCAAAGTACACAATCAGAACCCCATATAATCCCCCCCCCTCATAAACATTCAGATTCAGCAGAAGTGAAGTGCAGCTGTTCCTCTTGTGTTTGTGTTTCAGCTGCTGCAGGTGTTCTACAGTCAGCAGGAGGAGATCAGGTCACTGCGGGAACAGCTGGAGCAGAGGGACAGCAGGATACAGCAGCTGGAGCTGGAGATGAAGAACATCCGCAACCAGCTCAGAGCTTCATTCTGATTCACAGACCTGCAGCTGGCACTGACCTGCACCCTGGGTGAGCTGACCGTAACTGGACAGCACTAAGTGCAGGAGTAAACGGGGCACAGTGAGTCTCAGCGACCAATCAGATCCCTTCCTGAGGTGGTCAGCGATGCATATGACCAGCAGGGTTATTATAGTTTACTAAAACTATATCTAAATTAAAAACTAGCAGTGAAAAATGTAATAAAAATAAAAACATTTTCAGAATCTAAACTATAATGTTGACTTCCAAGCTGACTGAAATGGAACAGAACTGAGAGAAGCGTTAGCTGTAGTGTGTTCAGTGAGTGAATGAGAGTTGAGGGTTTAGAAGTGTGTTTACTGTGAAGGACCGTCCACTCAGCCGAGTCATCACAGCAGAGACTCTTCATTCCTCTCCTCTCCGGTTCGTTCACAGCTTCATCAGTCCGTACATTCACCCCAACAAACACAGAGAGACTGTAGTAAAGGTGGGCGGGGCTCTTCCTCCAAAGCCAATCACGAGTGTTCACTGGAGGCGCATTAGACACATCAAAGCGGCAGGTGAAGACGACTGTACGGCTAACTGCCCACTTACGATCAGACCACTCTGACTGACGTTAACTCCAGATATGAAGTCTTAGAGGCCTGTTTCTCCTCCAGGGGGCGCTCCACTGAAGCCACTGCCTCAGTGCTACCCACTGGTTTTCACTTAGTTAGGAAGCTCTTTTTCTTCTGTGACAATCAAAATGATTTTGATTTTCTGAACAGCATAATTGTTCTGACTGAATGACTTTTTTTGTTGGAAAATAAAGTAAAAAAATCCAAAGATTTGAGTCTCTAATATTCTGAGTCCTGTAGTTTCTAATGGTTTGATCGTGTGTGTAGCCAGTGACACAATAATAACCCCTAATAAACACAGGAGCGTCTGCTCCACTTACTCACCAGAACCCTAAAGTGATTCGTTATCATTGAGGCACTAACAGAAAAAAGCCACCGCAGAGTGTCTGGTGATGAAGAGCCACCACGCTAACATAGCCGGCAATGAACCACAACTACAGCTCACCCAGTTAGCATGAAGCTCTTTAGCTAATGCTAACGGGAGTCTGGTCAGTTTCATTCTTTCTTAGCAACATTAGCATTCGTTTATGCATTGCTCAATTTTTTTCTCTCAGTAACATTTTTAAAAACCCAAATATCTTGAAATAAGATATTAAAGCCAAATGATCATCATCCAGTCATCAAAGCCTTTATCAGAAACCTGTTTGGTGAATAGATAAATATCGTAACTCATCTCCATTTCTTCCGGTTTTCATTTCTCTTCGTCCTCCGAGTGAACCAGCCACCCTTACGCCATGAAGACTGAACCCGTAAAAATGATCTAAAATTGTTCGTAATAAAATCTCTTCACATTAACTTACATTACAGGTGGAGAAAGTTTTTGTCCGGTAAAGTTTGGAGATACTCGATTTTCTTTGGACAGTGATGATTTACTGCTGCTGTCAAGACAAACCTCCTGTCTCCAAAATGCAGAATGGCACCTCATATTTGAACCTGAGTGAAACAAGACTTCCTGAACAATGAGCTGGACTAGAGAAATACAGAGGGGAACCTTCACAGAACCCCTAAATCAGTGGTTCTCCAACCCTGATCCTGGAGATCTACCTTCCTGCAGAGTCTAGTTTAAGCCAGTCTGCCTCACCTGCTCCAGCTGATTCTTCTTCAGAAGTTCCTGACTGGCTGGATCAGATGCACCAGCGTTGGGTAACGAGGAGGCAGCATTTTAGATGCAGGTTGGAACTAAACTAGATCTCCAGGAGGAGGGCTGGTGATCACTGGCCTAATGAAGGGTTAAACTCTTGAAACGTCCAGTGAAAAACTGGACATGCTGTGTTTCTCCATAGTTTCTCATGGCCTCAGATCCACTATCAGCACAATTACAGACAGAGGAATCAACCGGTCATGCTTTGATTTCCAGTGAGTGGGAACAATTTCATGGGGAAAAACGTCAGTCTAGTTCTTCTGGAAGTTCTAGATACATCACTTACTGTGAATACGAGTGCCAGCCTAATCAGTGGGTGGTCAGAAATGGAAAACAGTGGTGGCAGCTCTACACCAGAGCTCACTAGTGAAAGAGTGTTACAAGGTCAAACATATGCTAATATGTCTGTCACAAGCTTCAAGGTAAACATAGAATGTCCTGCAGAAGCTTCAAATGTGTGTATTTAATCTAGAGCTGCCAAAAATGTTCACGCAAATCACCGTTAACTTAGCGTCATCTAAAGATGGGATTCGATTTTTATGGCCCGGATTAAAGCCGAGCTCTGAGTCACAGTTCATCACTGGAGGAGCAGAAATGAGAACAGCTCGATCATAAGAAGTGCCGGTTTGGTTCTGTAAACAAATACGTTTAATAAGTGTTTTCTTCAGTGACCTTCATGACCTTTTTCACAAAGTTCAGCTGCTGACGGAACCAAATTTAAACACTTTCAGTGCAGATTATTTGGGTTTCGTTGGAACAGAATTCTCTTTGGATCAAAATGAACCATTTTCACTCATTAAAATGGACTTTTAGTCATTTTTGTCAATTTATGGACAATTTTATGCACAATTCTTGATTTTCAATGGGTGGAACCGCTTTCATGAGAAAAAACGTCGGTCTAGTTCGTCTGGAAGTTCTAGATACATCACTTACTGTGAATATGAGTGCCAGCCTAATCAGTGGGTAGTCAGAAAAGGAAAACAGAGGTGGCAGCTCTACGTTTCTTTAATGTCGACACATTTTCAGTTCTTAAGTAGAACCTTGTTGATTCATTTTTTTGAATGTATAAAAAACGAGCACACATAAACAAACAAACAAACAAACAATAAAAGACCAGCTTGTTATCCATGGCTGAGAAATGTTTATTTCATGGAAACATCACTATAAACGTCATAAGATAACGAACGACCAAACAGCCCGATCCCCCTCCGGGCTGGACCCCCAGGCCGGGACTGCGCTGACGGCAGAATACAAACCTTTACAAACTTTTATCAAAATTACAGTACAGTGATTCTCCAACACGACCCACCACAAAAAACTACTGACCACTAACGTCTACTGATCCACACACGTCTAGTTTGGCTGGAGTTTAGTCTCTAATTCTGATCCTAATGTGGAGTATTGCTTTAGGGTTCGTCTGCGTTCAGGACACAAACAAACAGCGGTTTTTAGTGCAAAGTGCTACCGATAAATAGATAATCAATACCGAATCGCTCAGATTTCGGTTCATGCAGTCGATTAATGTTTAGCAAAGCTGGATGTCAATAACAATAACGATGTAGCACAACGATACAAATCTGCATGAGGTCAATGGAGTCATTTCATATTCAAATGAAATCTTTTTTTTTCACCATTTTAAACTGTGAGAATCTTTTTTCAGACTAATTCCTCTTTTTTCCCAACTCAGCATGACGACTACATGAGAACGGTGAAGCAGTGACTCTTCAGCTACTTCAGCTCATTAACAAACCTACAGCAACACAAAAGCTAACAACCCGACACTGAACTCAAACACGGCCGCAAAGCTCATTTACAGGCAGTCAGGACGAGGCTGGACTGCAGGATGGACTGATCAAAACCCGTTTTAAATCATCTGACAAGCACTGCGAAACGCCAGTCAACATAAATACGCACTACAAAGGGAAACTCCACCAAAATTCTCCATAACTCAGTGTGTGCGGTGTAATCAGAGTGATTCAGAGTGGTTTGGTGTGAAATGGTTCAGATGTCTTTACAGTGGTGGTGATAGGAACCAGGGGTCGCCATGACTACAACACAGATATAGACATTTTATTTACTATCCAGAACCACCAGTGAACCTACACGAGTCTTCTGAGTTTATATGAATGTTGATGATGGAAAATAGTGGAAAATCTGAAATAATAAGTTTTCTTTGGGGACTATTTTGCCTCACAGCGCCCTGCATGTATCCCTCCACCATGAATGGAGTTTAATGCCCAAATCTTCTCAAAACTATCAGTGTGTTGCAGTCATTAAGAACGATTTAATTAAGCAGAATTATGGAGAGATTGGTGGAATTCCCCTTTAAACAATGTTTGGTCAAAGAATCGAAAAGCTCAGTAAGAACTGAGGTTTGGACACAGAGCCAATCTGACCGTAACAGTAAAGACCTCAGACCGTAACGCGCTGTTACTGGACAGGAAGTTGGTCAAATTCGCTCGTGTTTGTCTAAGACAGACAGACTGAAGCTATTTAAGAAAAGTGATTCGACAAGTCAATTGGAAAGCAATGGCTGATTAATCAATAAAGCTGATTGTTGAACGCATAGTTTGGATCGGCTGGTTTTGGGAGGGATTGCATTCACAGTGACGCTCGTCGTCGGCTGGTTTAAAGCTCGTCTACTCTAATCAGAACCGCTACAGAAACCGACCACAAACACTAACGCTGCATTTTTTGCTGCTGATCGTAAAATAGCTGCAGTAGGAAAATCACAACACTAAGGAAGACCATCACACTGTGATCATGCTACTCAAGTGTTTCCTGTTTTCAGTTGCAGTGCATTATGGGGTATGTATACTGGAGGTACCTGGTCCTGAGGAGGTTCAGGAACTCTACGTGGAGTGTGGCAGGAGTCGGGGCCGACCGATACGAAACCGTCATCGATGACGATCCGATTTTGAGAAGCTGAAAATTTCGATAACATATCGAAAAACAAAACAGACTCAAATGTAAACAGTTAAAATATGACTGTTTTCCTCAATCTCAAGTTTCTCCACAGCAGAAACTCACAAAGCCTTCATTTATTATAAATATTGTGATCAATTCAGGTGATTAGATTCGCTCTTATTTTATCCTCTTTTGTGTTATGACGTTATCCTCATCCTCAAGCTTCTTCTACAGGTTTTAACACAGTTTGCGTGTGTTTGTTGGTGTCTTAGTTTGCTGTATGAACCAGATCGTAACTGCAAAAGCAGTTTCTGTAAATACTGTTCCAGTCGCCCAGTTTCACTGTACTCTGAGCAACGATAATAAAGCATCTTGTCTTATCTTAAAGGTCTGAACTCCACCAGTCAAATGACATGCTTTGTTGACTTTCTAGGTGATAAAACGTTATCATCCTCCACAGAGAACACACTTAAATACGGCATTTCTCTGCAAATTTTAGTGCACAACTGCTATTTAGTTGCTGAGTTAAATGT